TTGGTGCAATATCATTCCCCACCATCTCGTCATAATAGAATCTCACAGCACTACACGCATCATTCATGTTGACATAAGTTCTAATAATAACATTGCACAGAAAAGCATCGGGCTCTTGGGTACACTAGAAGAACGTAACCGCATGAGCAACTTCATCTAAAGAACAGAGCTTCTTCACGGCTCGGCTTGTGGCAAGAGAGTGTTGAGAGAGGCGAGTGACAACTAGCTGAGCATGGACTTGGTTGAATTCTCTGACGCTATTACTCGACTCCAATCTGCGCAGAATCGGATGGGCTAACGTCAAAACGTCAACTTTTTCGTCGTTTGTGATTAAATTTTGTCGCTTGACATCGTGAGGCCAGAGTCTCGGTGTGGGCTTGGAGAGGTGTTTCTGGGATTTGAGGAATTTGTCGAGAGATAGAGATGAGAATCTAGTGTTTGGTGTGAGTTTCTGGGCAATGGACATATGGCTTGTGTTTGGTTTTTCCGGGAAGCTTTGTCCTTCTGATTTCTTAAGTTTCCAAGTTTAGATCATGCAAAAATGTCATGCACTTGACCGATGATCTTGAGAGTGCAGTGGCTGGAGTAGAGAGAGAGAGTTCCCTGTCTCGCTTTCCTGAGTAAAAAATAAAAAAATACATGTAATTATTTTTTAATTATACGACGTCCCCGTGAGGCATGATACCTGCGTTATATGCATGACCATTTTTGCAAAAGCTTTTCTACATTAATTCAGCATCTTAAAAGGTATGTCAAGTGCATGCACCCTTATCTATGCATCTCTCATCAGGATACAAATTTTATATTAATAGGTAATAATTTCTCTTGCTTTTTCCTAAGCTCTATTCACTGTCTTCCTCTAACAAAACGAGAACACACCAGATTTTGTTCATCAGCATGGGTTTCGAAACTTCAAATTAAAACAATCACATCACAGCTTCAAGCCATGAACGTATAAGCTTCATTGTTAACCAACTATATTTATCACTGAACTTCCGCCGTCGACCACCACAGTTCGTCGGAAACTAACTACGGAGTATCGCAGGGATGTACGACAAGCGAATACAACGCATAGGGCAGTAAGAGAAATCAAACCCAGGAACATCTGTCTCTAGATATCACCATACCAAGAACGACGTTGACTCCACCAAGCCTTTCCACATCAGTGGTCGCAGTCAGTCCAATAACGAATACACAATGCATAACACAACCAGAACGTAAGAGAGCAGGAAGGCTCTCCGCTACCTCACTGTGCATCCAAACCAGGCTTAATTTTTAACAAATCTGCTAATCTCACACGAATCACATCAACACATACCTTCAGTTTGAACAAAATCGAGATTATCTCTCAATCAAATCTCAGAAACATTTTATCGAACAGGTCGTGTGCGTTTTAGCCGAGGTGTGTAAGTGCATAACTAAAAGCCCGATTCATTCCGAGTGGTCACAAACAACCAAAAACTCAGGTTCAGATCATCAGCCCAAACGCAGTCGATGTGAGTATCCAAGCCATCACGACATCATATCTCCAAATTGTTTTTTTGCGTAGGAAGACCATGAAGAGGAAGTGACCGTACCTTTGTTCAAAATGAATGGTGAGCAAACAGAAGAGTCAACGATGAAGAACCACACCGATCAAATTAGATCGAGCGGGAAACTCTGACACTTGAAGCTCTCGATCCGGAAACAGAGTCGAGCAGCGGATTCGCTTGCTCCGCGCCTTCCACCTCTGTGCGCACGAGCGAGCGAGCGTGCGTTCCCGAGGGACGAGGGTCGGCCGAGTCGTTTGTCCAGGCCGGGCTCTCGAAATGGGCTCTCTTGATCAATTATCATTGGCTCCGATGGTGGCTCGTGGACTGGATACGAGCCCACGCACGAAAATGGGCTCCTTGTAAACTTTCATCCCATGGCTTTGAATTATGCCATAGCAGGCTGTGCCGTCAGAGCCAGAAGAGCAGGAGATGCCAGACTTATGCACCTGACGCCCACGCCCTGGCCGATGCATATAGTCTGTTAGAATACCAGCCTCGATTCTTCTGCACGGAGTTTCTAGCATCTGAATGAGAAATAGATTGCTTCTGGAAATTTTTCCTCTCGGGCATCTTCTGCCTCTGCCATCTGAATCGCATGCTGATAGGTTTTAATTACTACATGGGGACTGTTGCTTGGAATGGAGTAAGTTGCCAACGAGGCATGTCGATGCTGAGTTATCTTTTTGGTCCATAGGTATCTCCAGCTACTGGCTCTCACCATAGTGGGTCCTTTGAGATGTTCTTGTTGTCTAGAGTGATGAAACTTTAGGCCAGGTGGGAGGAGCATTCATACAGTAGTATCCTAAGGCTTAGGGTTGCAATCTTGACTCCAGATTCTGCTAACTACCGAGATACAAATATGCACGGTCAGGCCATGAAGGTAGATGGTGTGGGCTGTCATATAATCTAACATTTTGATGCCCTTTTTGTGATCGAACATTGGAGCACTTGCGATGACTACAAATTGTATGATGTTTTGTAACTCGCGGTGGAGAATGTATGTCCATAGTTCCTCATCTATACAGGGAAGATCAGGCCGTGGCGGATTCATGTTACTTAGTCTCCTTCCTTTCTCCAACGATCTATGCTGCTATGTGGAAGTTCACCGTCACGGCGCAGCTTATTTTTTCACCTTTTCTAGTTATAGAACTGTTCAATTTCGGAAACAGCCACCAAGAAAGCGTGGTGGTCTGACATGGAGGATGAACTGCTGACGGAACAGGTGGGGTTGCACGGTTCCAATCGGAAAGAACTGCAAAATCTCTTGTGGCAGGACTCCCCGGGCCTTTTGGTCCCGGTTGAGGGCGAGCTGATCATGGAGGATCGAAGACGTTTATGGCAACCGCTGGAAAGAGATTGCTGCACAGTACTTGAGCAACCGGTTATTGGATACCATCCAGCAGCGGTGGAATCGGCAGTTGTCAAAGAGAGCGGTGACCGAAGAGGGTCAAGTGACAACGGCGGGAGCTGCCAGGAGGGTTGCGAAGCTCACACCGAGGAGGATGGTGATGCCTCGATCCCCGCAGTCCAATGGCTTCAGGGTGATTAACACACGCCTGTCGAGGAGGTAGCGGGGATCGCCACGGATGTCAAGATAGCGTTGCCAAGAGGCTCTGATCAAGATCTTCTTTTTCATGTTGTAATATATTGTAAAATGAAAACAACCTACGATTTTAATTCAAGCACGTACCATGAATTGTTGGGTAATCTTATACTTTTATACATCTTCATCATTATTCTAGTATCTTCTCCAGTGGGAGAATTCATTAGAGTATAATCTAACAGCAACAGGTATGCCAATGGGAATAGAGGAAAAAAGAATTTAAATCCACAAGACCAACACAAAGCCCAATCATACATGAATTCAAGACGCTTTTGTGATAGGAGGACTAAATTCACTCGACAGAGATTATCCTAAAAATAAGGAGAAATTAAAAGCTTTAAGATTATCACGTCCTATTTTAGAATCACTTGGAGTGGTAAAGTAGCGTAATCTTTGCGAGATATTATGAAATCGCGTAATCAGAAGAGGCAGAAGAAGCTCTGTCCGCAATCCGTTAAGCATGTGAAGGTCAAAGCTACAGATAAATAAGGTAAGGAGGGAAAAGTCTATATGATTAGCTAGGATTATAAGATGGCATGGCGGAGAGACGAAGAGGAAATGACTCGCTCCTCTCCGACAGCTTGCCAATGCACTGTGTGTGGAAGGCATGCTTGCAATGCATCCGAGCGGCTGCAGACTCAGCTCGGAGCTCCTTTCAACGGGTCAAAGGTTGCCCCGTCGATCCCGAATCTTGGGCCATAATTCCCCTGCCCCACAAGTTCCAAGGTCATCATCATGTTGTCAGACAACATCACCACCGCAACAACGACACATTCGGAGACCTGAACCGCTTTCATTCAGCTGATGCCACGATCTCTTCTGAGAGCGCGTCCTGGGGGTCGTCCAGGAGCCTGAAATCAGTTAGGCAAGGACGCATGGCTCTTGTGACCGCACGGCGACCGTCGACCCGGATTTGGCTGACGTTGATCGAGATCAGAGGCGGCTCTTTCTGGTGAAGGAATCGGAGGATCAGGAGACTCCCAACTCTAGGAAGGCCAAGTTGATTCGCAACAATCCTCCATGAAGATCAGAGTCACGTTCCTCCCATCTGTAGTCCTCGAAGGGCATCTTGTTTAGACAGAGAGACGATATCCATCACAAATCTTAATGTTAATTTCTAGTAGGACTTGAGCTAAAAAAGCTTTATCAATGATCTTTTTGGAAGTATCGATAGTCCAATCTATTCCCTATGGCTTCGTTTCGTAGCTTACCAAAATCCTGATCGAATCATATCTATTGTTCATTGCCATATATCTATATGTGTTCGACCTTTGGAAGTATGAATTAGCATGATTAAATTATCGTCAATGAGTAAGATTCGCTAGACTCTCTCTCTCCACCCAGATTATTCCCCAACTTTCTTCAAATTTTAGCTAGAGTCCAGTGTGTCTGTTTCACGGCTTTAAAATAGTACTTCTGTTAAGACATAAGTTTGACAGCAGAATTATATTATTGAGCTCATAACAAAGTGAGTCCATCTGTTTTAATTTTAAAAATGAAAAATAGCTTAGTTTTCAGTCCACAATCTACCACTGACCTGCAACATCAAAGATTTTTAGTGTTAATTCTTTAGGGCATAGTTCCTCAGCAAATTGTTTTATTAACAACTTTGGTTGAATGGATTAAGGCCAGTCTTCACTTCTAATTATTCGTGAACAAATAAAAGCTACGCACCCTCGGGCACATGGAAAAGATATCTGAAGAGGTTAATGGCACTTGTTTCCTTTTTCTGGTTTTTGTTTTTCAAGCTGTATGCTTGATAGATTTCATTATTCATCTTGAATTCAACTGATATACGATTGCACCAAGAAACAAGAAGAGAAGACATTTTTTTTTGGGTCAAAAAGAAGAGAAGACATTAGAAATAAGCTTTCAAAAGGGAAATATCATTTCAAGCTAGTCCAATGACATCTTTATTCAATGAATCCACATTGCACAATTTAAAAGACAACTCCTCTAACAATTTCATTGTCCATGAAATTTGATGGCCTTCCTCTTTGGCTTTTCCATCCACTCGGCTAGTCTTCTATCTAGCATTCTCACACCTCGTGCGAGCCATATGGGCCTTCCCATTTCAAATGCAATGTATGCTATGGAAATCCCAATCACTACTCCAGATGCATAACCTATCCACACCGTTTTCTGTTTGAACCAACTCTCATGTTCTTTGCGGTCGGAAGTTGACGAGGATGATGGTCGAGGAGGTTGAGCATCGCCAGGGCATGCTTTCGGCAATGGAGTTCCACACAAGCCTGGATTCGCACCAAATGAGTTGCTTGAAAATGTGCTCAAATGCTTGTCTTGAGGAATTCGACCAATGAGTTGATTCTTCGAGAGGTCCAAGTATCCAAGGGATGCCAAATCTCCCAAATTTCTAGGAATTCCCCCGCTAATCTTGTTTGAAGATAGATCCAACCATTCAAGATTGGTCAATTTGCCTAGTGTCAGTGGGATGGAACCTGTAAGATGATTATGAGAAAGGTTGAGCCCTATGAGAGAGTGAAGATGTCCAAATTCTCCAGGAATGTCTCCTTGAAAAGAATTGTGCGACAAGTCAATGATTGCAAAGACGGTCAAGATCTTCTCTAGGTCAATCTTTTGCCCTTTTATGGTCACGGACACACCATTTTCATACCATACCGACGATTGGAGATACCGTGTCATATACAATGATTTGCCTTGCCTATTTTCACCATTCATGATAGCTTTAAGGTTCATTATCAAGTTGGCTGGCAAAGGACCGCCAAAGTTGTTGTGGGAGAGATCCAAAATGTGTAACTTGGAAAAGAGGTGCGCTCCCCTGGGAATATTCAAAAGATCCTTAAAATTGTTGGACCTCAACATGAGAACCTTTAACTTTGGGAGTGTTCCTAGCCATCTCGGGAACATGTCCTCTATCCGATTGTCACTGAGATCAAGAATTTCTAGATATTTACATCTGACAAGGGACCGTGGCAATGTGCCTTCAAATTGATTTCGACTCAAGTCAAGAGTTGACAAGCTATTTCTCTGAGAAAATGATTGAGGAATTGTGCCCTCAAATTGATTCATTCGCAAGTTCAAAATTGACAGATTGGTGCTGAAATTTGTTAAGCACCGAGGCAAGCTACCTGTTAGGCCGTTGTAAGACAAGTCAAGGATCTCGAGCTTGGTGGCATGGCATATTGAAGAGGGGACCTTTCCAGTAATATTATTACCCACAATAAGATAAAATAATGTGACAGGAGACGGAAGTGGAATTGGCCCGTCAAATTTGTTGTTGGACAAATCTATTACAACCAATGAAGTATTTAAGAAAACCTCTGTGGGGTAGATCCTACCATGAAATTTGTTGGACTGCAAATCAAGGCCATACAATCGCGGTGCCTTTAACCAAGATGGGAAGATATCATTGAACTCATTGTAACTGAGACGTAGTTTTGCTAAGTTTGTGCATTTGGCTAGGGAGCGCGGTAAGGGCCCTTGTAATCTATTGCTTGTCAAGTCTAGATGCAAGAGATTGGTTAGATTACCAAAACATGATGGTATATTTCCAGAGATATTATTATAAGAAAAATACATATACCGGAGTGAACTCAATTGGCAAATCGAAGAGGGGATCTCCCCTCTAATCCTATTGGAGTGGAGGTCTAAGACGGTTAATCTTTTCAATGAATTTAAGAAATAGGGGAACTTGGTCAAGTTGCAATAAGGCAAACCCAACCCTTCAAGCATTAGGAATGTATAGTCTAGTCTATTATAAGTTAGATTTAGTTCTTGAGAAACATTAAGCATTCGTAGATTTTTAAGCTTTGTCAAGATTTCAAACTCTACAACCCCGCTCAACTTATTTCCGGCAAGATATAGAACTTGAAGTTGATTGAGATTCCACAGTGATGGGGGGATGTGTCCTGTGAATTTGCAATCGCTAAGACCTAAAATTGTCAAACTTTTCATGTTACCAATTGAATCCGGTATTTTTCCTGAAAAGCTCGTATCGCTGAGAGACAAGGACACAAGAGGACCGTTCCAATTGGATTTGGGAAGAATCCCGGACATGTTGTGATTGGAAATTACACGGAGAGTTGTAAGGCTCGGTAATCGAAAAACCTTATCAGGAAATATGCCCCCTAAGGAACAACCAGAAATGCTTAAATGTGTCAAAGAAGAAGACAAATTGGCAAAGGATATTGGTGAAACCATGGACATATCTAAATTATCAAGAACAAGCTTTCTCAAATCTGTTGTATTTTGAACAAGCATTATGAAGATCAAATTTTCCAACCTGAGAGAAGAGAACGAGTATGATTCATCATAATTCTTGGAGAGATCAAGTGACTCCAGCTTGGAGAGACGAGAGATTTCATTAGGAACGGTGCCAAAAAAGTGTGAACGAGAGAGATTCAGATGAGTCATTTTTGTAAATGCAGTCAAATTAGGCGAAATGTGTGAGCCAGCAAAGTCATTTCCGGAAAGGTTGAGGCTCTGAAGATGGCGAAGGAGAAGGACGGAGCTATTGGAATGGAGAGCACCACGAAGCCAACTGCAAGTAAGATCGAAACCGATGACGTAATCAGTGACATCATCGCAAGTCACACCGTCCCACGAGCAGCAGTCCACGCCCTTGTTCCATGAGTTTGTCTTTGGATAAGAAGTAACCCCAGCATGCTCGTCACAACTATAATGGGACGCCTTGCTATCAAGCACGAAGGAATTCTTAAAAAGGAGCAAGGCATCGCGCTGGTCAGGAGGGCAAAGGGGCAAGGCTAAGGGAAGCAAGGAATGCAAGAAAGAGAGGAAACAGAGGAGGCCGAAAATTCGATGCCACCCCATTTTGCAGTTTAGCATGCGAATGAGTTAAGCGGTGGGGGAGAGTGCTCCAACTTATATTAAATTCACGGTTGGGTGTAGCCTTCTAATAAGCTAAGTTATCAACATAAGTCTTCTCTGAAAGGTCTGTTGGTGGGCTCACATAGACTTCCAACTTCATCTTATCCCATCTTCTTCAAGCAGACGAGTTCAAGTTGCCTTCCTGGTTGGGAGTTTAATCAAGATCAATCTCGTTTTATTTTGGAGTCCTTCGATATTTTTAATTTTTTCCCCTAATTACTACCAAACGTGCGTTCCTGCTGGGGGAAAAACTTGCTTCGCCTCGAGTTGGTATCCCATTAATTTGAAACTTGTCACGTATTGTTTAGGGTTAAGACCAAGAAAAAGACCAAACTGATACACTGTGATAAATTTATCCCAAATTAATTTTTTGATCATAAAAAATCCCAAATTGATACACATGTGACAAATTCACCCTAAATTAATTTTTTAACCACAAAAATTCTCAAACTGGTACATTTATGACAAATATACCGTCCCTTAGTTTCCGTTAAATTGGATTAACACAACGAAAAATCACAAATTGGTACACCTATGACAAATGGAGGGTCAAACCCCAAACTAGTAAACTCATCAACTGTCACGTGTCATCAAATTCAGTAATTTGACAGTCTAATTTAACGGAAACTAACAGAAGATAAATTTATCATGTGTGTTCTAGTTTGGGGTTTTTAGGGGTTAAAAAATTAGTTTGAGGTAAATTTGTCACAAATGTATCAGTTTGAGGTTTTTCGTGGTATTAATTTTATTGTTTAACATATTTTACAAGTATCTAACATTTTATAATATTACGGTATGTAATTTTCCATGTATTTTATTTAAGTTTGGTAGAATTTAATGATTTTTCCCCGAGCAAAATGGCTGTAGGACGCCAATAGGCATGTGGCCCTGCTGATAAAGGAATTAGGGGTGGGGATGCTAGTGTCATAGTTGAGGAGTTCGACTCTTGCACTCGGCAAGAGGCAGAGTAAAAGTGAGAGAATGAGGAGAGTTAGAAATAAAACATAAAATAAAAATGGCTGTAGGACAGCGGTGCGACTTAATTATAAATGCTAAGGAGTCAAAGTCTTCATACAGTGACATCTATGGGGTAAAAAATTGTGTTCTTGATTGTCATGGTGGGGTTCCTTGAGTGTGGAAAATTCTTACTGCCATAGAATTTCTTCCCTGGCTGAATGCACAAAAGACAACGGAGGAGTTTTCAGGGCACCCATTCGAAATGGGCATTGACAAACTGGTGCTAATAATTTGGATTTTATTGGTGATTTTTTTTTGCAATATCACATCCAACCTGGAATGTGATTGTTTAACATATACACGATGCCAAAGTCTTCTCTCCTTGTCTAGAAAAAATATGTCTATGGTGGCATTTTTTTCAAAGATATGGTAGAGGGTGTCTAGAATGACTTACTCTAAACATATTTTTTTTAACAAAGCAACCTTTCAATTTTTTTGTACATCTTATATATATTTGGATCACGTCTAAACTTGTATAATACAAGAGTACTTGAAATTAAAATTTCTCAAAGTTAAATTATTGTGGAATTTAATGTAGAGTAATAAAACATCTTCAATTTTAATAAAGTGCTTGTCAAATATCTTGCGGTCACGCGGAAAGGGAAAAGAACAGACACAGGATATGATAGAATCAAGATCAATCTCGTTTTATTTTGGAGTCCTTCGATATTTTTAATTTTTCCCCCTAATTACTACCAGACGTGCGTTCCTGCTAGGGGAAAAACTTGCTTCGCCTCGATTTGGTAGCCCATTAATTTGAAACTTGTCACGTATTGTTTAGGGTTAAGATCAAGAAAAAAGCCCAAACTGATACACTATGATAAATTTACCCAAAATTAATTTTTTGACCACCAAAAATCCCAAATTGGTACACATGTGACAAATTTATCCTAAATTAATTTTTTGATCACAAAAATTCTCAAACTGGTACATCTGTGATAAATATACTCTCCCTTAGTTTCCATTAAATTGAATTAACACCACGAAAAATCACAAACTGGTACATTTATGACAAATGAAGGGTAAAACCCTAAACTAGTAAACTCGTCAACTGTCACATATCATCAAAGTCAGCAATTTGACAGTCTAATTTAACGGAAACTAACGGAGGATAAATTTATCATGGGTGTACCAGTTTGGGATTTTTAGAGGCTGAAAAATTAATTTGAGGTAAATTTGTCACAAATGTACCAGTTTTAGGTTTTTTGTGGTATTAATTTTATTGTTTAACATATTTTACATGTATCTAACATTTTATAATATTACAGTATGTAATTTTCCATGTATTTTATTTGAGTTTGGTAGAATTTAATGATTTTTCCCCAAAGCAAAATGGCTGTAGGATGCCAATAGGCATGCGGCCCTAATGATACAGGAATTGGGGGTGGGGACGCTAGTGTCATAGTTGAGGAGTTCGACTCTTGCGCTCCGCAAGAGGCAAAGTAAAAGTTAGAGAGTGAGGAGAGTTAGAAATAAGACATAAAATAAAAATTGCCGTAGGATAGCGGTGCAACTTTATTATAAATGCTAACGAGTCAAAGTTTTCATATAGTAACATCTATGGGGAATTGTGCTCTTGATTGTCATGGTGGGGTTCCTTGAGTGTGGAAAATTCTTACTGCCATATAATTTCTTCCCTGGCTGAATGCACAAAAGACAACGGAGGAGTTTTCAGGGCACCCATTCGAAATGTGCATTGACAAACGGGTGCTAATAATTTGGATTTTATTGGTGATTTTTTTTTGCAATATCACATCCAGCCTAGAATGTGATTGTTTAACATATATATACACGATGCCAAAGTCTTCTCTCCTTGTCTAGAAAAAATATGTCTGTGGTGGCATTTTTTCCAAAGATATGGTAGAGGGTGTCTAGAATGACTTACTCTAAACATATTTTTTTTAACAAAGCAACCTTTCAATTTTTTGGTACATCTTATATATATTTGGATCACGTCTAAACTTGTATAATACAAGTGTACTTGACATTAAAATTTCTCAAAGTTAAATTATTGTGGAATTTAATGTAGAGTAATAAAACATCTTCAATTTTAATAAAGTGCTTGTCAAATATTTTGCGGTCACGCGGAAAGGGAAAAGAATAGACACAGGATATGATAGAATCCCATGTTTTCTGCTTGAGCACATGGCCCTAGGACGGCGGTGCACTTAATCATAAGTGCTAAGAAGTCGAAGTCTTCTTGAAATGATAATACTGGGGTCACAAATTTGAAATTATTGTCTTCGTGGGGTTTACTTGGGTGTGGAAAATTCATGGTGCCAAAGAATTTCTTCATTAGCTGGATGCAAAAAAGCCAGCGGAGGAGTTTTCAGGGCATCCATTCCAAATGGGCATACACAAATTGGTACTATTAAGTTGGGTTTTATTGGTGATCTTTTCTTGCAATGTCAAATCAAGCATGGAACACGATTGTTCTACGTATACACGATATGGAAGTCTTGTCCTCTTTTCTTGAAAGGCATATTAGTCAAGTCTATACGTGGCTCTGGTCATTACTATTTAATAGACAAATGTGAAAAATTTATTGTGAAGATGGTAGTCATTTATGAATATTTTTTAGTAAGATAACTTTGAAGCTCCAACACCCGGTTTGATATGGCAAAACATGTGTGAGGTAGGTACAAGTTCAAGATCTACTATTCACCTGCAAGTTCAACAAAAATTTAAAGAGGGATGATGGAATGTCTAATGCTAATTCTTAAGGGATGTATTTCCATGGTCTCAATGGGCTTCTGCTGGTAAGTACTCAACAAAGAGTGCTTCAACTTATATTAACGTAAGTCTTCTAATAAGCCAAGTAATCAACGCAAGTCTTCTACGAAAGCTCTTATATTTGGGTTGTTAACCATTAGTGTTGAAAATACCAACAAAAACACTTGTCGTATTGTACATATAAAACGTGGTCTATAATTTTGAAGTTGAGACCACTTTTCATTATCCACCATCTAGTTTTTAAAATAAATTAAAACTTATGGACTTTCCACTTATCTGTTTATTATAAGTTAATTTCAAATTAATTGGATTTTAGATAAAATTATTCTCAATTTTATTTCATTCTTAGTAAAAGATATTTAATTGAATTGAAGAGAAAATACATTTAGATGAAAAATTGTATCGATCTATTTTGTTACTCAATTTTGAATTAAGTGGAGTATAAAAACATAATTGTTTTTGAGAACGCAGCCTTTCAGATTTTTCTAGAATTAACAAGATTTAATTAGCCACAAAAGAGAAATAGACTTAAAAATGAGTTGTTCTCCTTATGAAGAAAGGCTGCCTAATCAACTACCCATGTCATTTCGTCAAGTATAAGAGCAAATAAAACCTTAGAAAGTTGACACTTCACTCTAAAAACAATTTGATTATTTGGATCACGTCTAAACATGTACAATACAAGAGTGATTGAGATTGATATTTCTCAAAGTTCAATGATCGTAGAATTTTGGATAAAGCAATAAAATATGCTTATGTTTAATAAAGTGCTTATAAAATATTCTACCGCTACAACTGCGTGGATAGGGAAAAGAAAAGACACATGGTCTGGTTGGATTCCATGTTGTTTTGCTCGAGAGCAATGGCTGTGGGACAGTTGCGCACTAAGAAGTCAAGGTCTTCTTGAAATGACAATACTGCGGTCACGGATTTGGTTTTCTTGATTGTCTTCGCTCGATCACTTGGGTGTGGAAAATTCTTGCTGCCAAAGAATTTTTTCCTTGGCTGAATGCATAAAAGACAAATTGGTACTAATAAGTTGGATTTCATTTGTGATTTTTTTTTTGCAACATGATATCAATCATGGAATGTGTTTGTTCTACGTATACACGACGCGGAAATCTTCTCCGCTTTCTTGAAAGGCATATTTTTTAAGTTTATGGTGTCATTCTCCATTTCAAAAATATGTGTGACTTTGGTCATCACTAACTAATAGATAAATTTGGATAT